AACATCCCATTGCTCATTATGTTTCTTATAATTCCTTATCACCATCATTCTCATGTTTTTCCTCTCAGTTGTCTACTACATTTTTTCCTAAGACTGTGCAGGATGCTTTGTCTGATTCGGGTTGGAGGAAAGCAATGCAAGATGAAATGGATGCTTTGCATACGAATGGCACGTGGACTCTTGTTCCATTACCTCCAGGTGTCAAACCTGTTGGTTATCGCTGGGTATATACTGTGAAGTATCTTTCGGATGAGTCCGTTGAGCGTTTAAAAGCACGTCTTGTTGCCAAAGGTTATACCTAGACTTATGGTATTGATTATGATGAGACGTTTGCACCTATTGCTAAGATTTCCTCTATTCGTGTTTTGATTTCTCTTGCTGCTAATAAGCATTGGCCTCTGTTTCAGTTAGACGTTAAAAATGCCTTTTTGCATGGTGACTTAGCAGAAGAGGTTTATATGGAGCAACCACCTGGGTTTGTTGCTCAGGGGGAGTATCTTCACACTGTTTGTCGCCTTAAAAAGGCTCTATATGGCTTGAAACAATCTCCACGGGCTTGGTTAGGAAAATTCTCTGAGGCGGCATTAAAGTTTGGTCTTTAGAGGTGTCAGACTGACCATTCGGTATTTCACCAGCGCACTAAAGCTGGTTTCATAATTCTTGTGGTGTATGTTGATGATATTGTGATCACAGGTGATGATTCTGAAGGCATTGCTAAGTTGAAGTTATTTCTGCAATATCGATTCCACACTAAAGACTTGGGTAAACTTAGGTATTTCTTGGGTATTGAATTAACTCGATCCAAGACAGGTATAAGTTTATCCCAACGAAAGTATGTGTTGGACTTATTAGAAGAAACAGGTATGTTAGGTGGTCGTCCGGTTGATACTCCTATGGATTCAAATACAAAACTTGTAGCTGATGTGGGTGATCTATTTAGTGACCCGGGTAGATTTCGTCACCTTGTTGGGAAATTAATTTATCTCACTATCACTCGACCTGATATTTCATATGCTGTTAGTGTTGTAAGTCAATTCATGGGAGCCCCTAGAATGCCACACTGGATTGCTGTTCTTCGGATTCTTCGATATCTCAAGCAAGCTTCAGGTTTTGGGTTACCATATAAACCAAATGGTCATCTCAGGGTGGAAGGTTTTACAGATGCCGACTAGGCTGGTTCTCCTTCAGATAAGAGATCTACTGCCGGCTACTGCACATTTGTAGGAGGAAATCTAGATACATGGCGAAGTAAAAAGCAAACGGTGGTAGCTCGATCTAGTGCTGAAGCTGAGTATAGGGCAATGGCCCATACCACTAGTGAGTTGACATGGATACAACATTTTCTAAAAGAACTTGGGTTGACAATTGAAGCTCCTACTCCATTGTTCTGTGATAATCAAGCAACAGTTCACATTGCATCAAATCCTGTGTCTCATGAGAGGACCAAACATATTGAAGTTGATTGTCACTTTATTCGAGAAAAAATATTACGTGGGAGCATCTCTACTCCATTCGTGAAGTCTGAAGATCAATTAGCTGATATGTTTACCAAAGCATTGGGTCATAATCAATTAAGAACTATCTGTTCCAAGCTGGGATTATTTGATATATATTCTCCAGCTTGAGGGGGAGTGTTAAAAGTTATATATATAATAGTGGGTCGTTATGTAATTATGTTTAGTTGATAGGCTGTTTGTGTTATTATGTAAACCTTGTAAATGTATAAGCCTACATAGGCTTATTAGGTTTTGTAAGTGTTTGATATACAAAGTGAATACGATTTTGCTCTCTCTCTGTTTCTCTCTTGATCAAGAACAATGCACAATGAATAATAGGATGTCAGGCAGCTCGCTACACTGGCATAAGGCATCGTCTTATTCTGTGTCTCTCACTGCAATGGAGAACGTTGTTTTATTAACAAGGGTAAAGTGCAAAAAAAAAAAACCCTCGCTATATACAAAATGTGCAATTACCCCTGTTGTTTATAAGAGCCCCCAAAATTTTCAATTTGTGCAAATAAAGACAAATCTTCAATTTAGTCAAAAATTAACAAAGAAATGACTAAAATACCCTAACGATATAAAACATATATAAAGAAACAGTATTTCCTTACACCAAACACTAAACTCTCTCTCTCTCTCTCTCTCTACAACATCTATCAAATATATATATATATACATGTGTGCGTGCGGGCGTGTGTGTGTGGTTCAATCCCAAACATCCAAAAAACACCACCATCACCATCACCATCATCACAGTGTACACCACCAAACATCCAAAACACCACCACCAACCACTACTGGAGCTTATCAGAACAATTTGACACGTTCCATAACCACAATACCCAGAGCTATTACGACCCAGAGCTATTACGACCCCCACCAAATACAGCTGATGTATATTCTTGTGGGTGCCATGCCTACGGTCATGTTTGCATAGGCCTTTCCTATAGTTGTTCTGAATGTCCATTTAAACTCAATGTTAATTGCGCTTCGCTCACGCCTACCGAAAACCACCAAAGTCAGGATTACTGCCACCAAATTCAACTTTCTGGCCAAACTCATCCCTTGATTCTATGCCACACCAATAAGAATACGGACCTGAGGTGCTCTGCTTGTTGGTTTCATTTTGAGGACTACATGGTCTATCATTGCCTCTAACACAGACTTTGCTGCACAAATCATGTGCAGAATTGGCAGAGGAAATCAAACACCCCTTCCACCCACAACATCCTCTCATCCTCTTCTTTCCACCACCACATGAATATTTTTCTTGTATCACTTGCAAGGCATGTGGAGAAAGTACTCCGGACTTTTCGTATCAATGTTATGTATATGCAATTTCTCCGTGTCACATGTGCTTCACGAATGCCTACCATCAAATCCACAATCCATCAGCATCCTCTTGCTTTCATGAATTAGAGTGAGTGGGGGACGATCTTTTCATGTAACGCCACTTGTTTTCAAACCAAAAATGCGAAAAAAATTATTCAATTCACTCTCTCTCTCTCTCTCTACATCTATCAATATATATATATATATATGGTTCATCCCAAACACCACCACCATCACCATCATCACAGTGTACACCACCAAACAACCAAACACCACTACCAACCACTGTACTGGAGCTTATTAGAATAATTTGAGACCTTCCATAACCACCATACCTAGAGCTATTACGACCCCACCAAATACATCACCACAAAACATTAACCCAACTCTTCGCCACATCCCACACGACTGTTGTAGAGAGAGAAGAGAGAATGGAGAGAGACGGAGATAAGGTTTAGAGAGAGAATCTGGAGAGAGGATAAAGAGAATTATATTTTTTTTCCTTGCTTACATCTGAGGGCATTTTAGGGTTTTTGTAAAAAATTGTCAAAACCCCAGCTATGAGAAACTGTCGATTCAATTTTAAGTATACTTACAAAAAAGTCCTCTTTGTTTGTCATATCTGACCTTCACCTCAAATTTTACTCGATTTCTTAAAAAAAAACATAACATTATGCTATGCTAGTGGGAGTCTATTATGTTCAGTCATTTTTTTTGAACTTTTGTTACAATCAAATATGTATATAGATATTTTTTTTAAACATACAGAGACATTTATCTATACAAAGATATAGATGCTCTAGAAGTGCTCCCGCTTTGATAAAATTTTGTATTTAGCTTCTCTCACGCTCTCGCTCTCACTCTCGCTCCTGCACTCACACCTGCTCCTGTTCATTGAAATTTAACTTCTTCAACTATAATATCATTATAATTGTTAGGAAAACCATATAATTTATTCAAAAAAAAAGTATTGAGATATAATACAAATAGGTCATTTACTAGTTTAGTCCAAAATTTATCCATGCAATATAACTCACAACTCTCTATTCATTGGATTCAGGTTAACTCCGCCTCTGTGTTCCTTTTGGCCATTGTGTAGTTGTTTTGAGATGCACTCTCCGTTTGGACTCTCTACTAACGACACTTATTAAAAAATATGAACATGAATCCAATGAATATTCGACGACTAAATGCTAGGGTGATCCCCTTGAGCGTTGTGTTGCATTGGCTTCCAGATGCTTTGAAAAATTGATGAGGGGCGCCACATCGACACCAGAACGCCCGTGCTTTTCTAGATGAGTGCGGGTAAAGAAGTTAGCCCAGAATAGTGGTCTTGGAATATAGGAACATTGACAAGGAAAGGAATGGAGTTGGTAGACACTATGATTAGGAGGAGGGTGAAGATATCAAGCGGGTAGATGCACAATCTAGTGAAATTGAAGGATGTAAACTCTACTACACCAGAAAGGATAGACATAGAAATGGAGTACGTAAAATCATTGAAAAGAATGTAAAAGAAAATGTTGTAACTGTTATTAGAAATGAGAATAGGATATCTTAGCTCCTATGCACCCCAAGTAGGACTAGCCGAACACATTAAAATACATTTTTGGGAACATATGGATCAATTAACATGGTCATGCAGGAAAAAGATGTGCAAATTGAAACATTAACACACAATTTTATGAATTTGGTGAATTGTCACATGTATCATGTTGTGACCATATTCCCTATCCATGTCCATGCTTCACCGAATCACCAGTCATGCTTAATTTTTCATACTTCTAATTTTACCACCAACCTAATAGGCTAGAGGGTTTTATTGGACTTATTGACTTTAATGTCGAGAGCTCAAATCCATCTGCTGTCTAGCACAAATATATTTACATTTATATTCACACACAGACGATATTGCCTGCTGTAGTGGTAAAATGCTCAGGCTATCAAGCATAAAAAAATGCGCGATCAAATGTTGAGAACCCACTTTGTGCAAATAATGCCGAAGGTAGCACTCTTGATTATCAGACACTACAATGGGTATAAACATACAAACATCTATATATATATTTTCACAAACGCATGCACAGATATAAACTTATAAATTCAGTAGTGACATTCCAACATGGAAAAACAGAAGTTTAAGAAGGTATCTTTAAGAAATTGTACCTTGCTGCATTCCCAGGGTACCAGAAGGCCTGAGATCTAGGCACTTGGACCTGAAAGCCTCGGCCAATATCTTATGCATGAAAACTTTGTTGCGATTTGAATCAAGTTCCTTCCTTTTCAAAAGATATGCAGCCTCGGCATCTTGAAGTTTAGTATCATATTTCATGTGGATTTGAGCAACAATTGCCTCTATCTCCTTTTCACAGTCAGATCTCAGCCGCGACTTCTGCTCAAAGAGAGGTAATACTCAGAGGAAACAGACAAAAACTGATACAACTCACTAGAAGTGATCAAGACAAATGCACGTTGACACTCACCGTATCTTCATGGACCTTCATAGTGTTCTCCATTTCTTTTTGTAACCATTCAAATTCATTTTGAAGTGGATCTACATATAAAGGTAATGTAGAAATCCGGGAAGGCACTTGTGGTGCAATATGAATTGGCAGATTTGCCCAAAAGGCACCAGCAGAAGTATCAATTGGGAGATGTGGTCCCAAACTTGAGCCAGATTGCTGAAAAGCTGGACTTGGAAGCTCCGTTGTATGCTCAACCATTTGGAGTGGAGTTCCAGTACTTTGGAATGAGTTACATCCTTCACTGATTGGTTGATAATCAACTCTACTAGTTGAACTTAAATCAGGCTGAACAAAGCGAGGAGGTAAATTTGTAGCATCCACCGGAGGATGCAATGCTAGATTGGTACCAGTGTAAAGAACAGCTTGATTTGAAAGCTCAACCAGTTGTGGAGCCTCAGCAGTGTGCCCTTCAGTATGAGGCTGATGTTCAACACCATGAAACGGAGGTAAATCAGTGTGACCAAGTGATAAATTGCTAGATGGTGATGACAGCTGTTGCTCAACAGGCTCAATTATTGGTGCTTCATGATTAATTTGAACAGTCGGTCCAATATCAACTGAATGCAAAGATGAAACCTCAGCTTGATGCAAAACATTCTTATTTCCACTACCAGGTCCATCTCCATCTTGCATTTCAGCAAATGTTGGTAATTGAGAACCTTTGTCCTGGATTGCCTGGCCAAATGAGATATCAACAATAAAAATTAAGGCATCCCCTTTGGCATTTTATATATAGACTTTCTCAAAGAAAATGTATTGATTGATATTTAAATAACCATCTCATAAATTACATGGACTCTCCTAAATGCGTTAACATATGGGATATATCTTGTTGAACATGGACCTAAGATATCAAATATTCATATTTACTATATATTTATCATTACATTCTTCTACTATGTTCCTTTTGCTACATTACCACTACAAGACGAGTGAAGTGTCCATATTGAATGTTCTATGTAACCTAAAATTATAGTGTCGCCTAGGGCGTCTTTGTATTTCTTAGGGTTCGCTCCCCTTTTGAGCGTCTTTCAATGAAATCTTACTTATCAAAAATAAATAAATGTTACCTAAAATTAAAATATAGCATAGGAAAAAAAAGAAGAGTATTCATAATATATTCATTCATGTCCTTGTGTCCTTTGGTTTGTGTTGAAAGATGTTATGGTTGGAGTATCATTATAAGAGTGATTTAAGCCTTAAATAACTCCTTGACATAATATTGATATTAGTGCATCATGGGAGTGATTTTAGGAATCTTTTCTATATCATATTTATCACATGTTTGTATTATTTCACCTACAAATAGAGGTGATCATTATATACAAACATTAAGAGAATATTGTAAAACAATAAAATATAAGTGAACAGAGAAATTAAACAAGAAAAATACAAAGATATTACGTGGTTCAGCCAATAGGGCCTACATCCACGGCACAACGAGCCCAAAGAGCTACATCACTTTTATAATATTCTCTCTTAATCTTGGTATACAATGATCACCTATATTTATAGGTGAAGGAATACCAACATGTGATATATATGATATAGGAAAGATTCCTAAAATCACTCCATGACTCACTCATATCAATATTTTGTCAAGGGGTGATTAAAGGGATTAAATCACTCCTACAATGATATTCTCCAAACATGACATCTTCCAACAGTTTGATAAACTTGATCATTATATCACATTTGACACATGCACCTAGTCCATGTAATATAGATAATTTCATTGCAATATGAGGAAAACTAGAGAAACCAAATCCATAAAACAGTTTATTTTACTTTATTTCCTAGTTTGTACTAACACACCCCCCTCCAAGGAATTGTTTGCACCTAGCAGGAATCGATACTGAGACCTGATACTTCTTGAGGCACCAGGGCCCAAGTCTTTTCCAGCTAGGCCAACCCCTTGGGGTTAATTCATAAAACAATTGATCCACAGCTTACCACTCTTTTGGGCTGGTAATTATCCCCATTAACCATACTTCTTTATCACAAAAGAGTACAGCCAGATAATCAACCCAGAAAAGGTTCCAGGAGAAAGCATATGGTTATCTTCATAGACATTTAAATAAAAACACTAGAAAGATAATAAAATAGAACATGTTTGTCACAATAAATTGTTATAAATAAAAATAAATAATAAGGAACAAAAGTTATATACCAGAGCATGTGGTAACTGGACACCTTGAAACGGAGTAACAACTGGCCGCACTGGGGCTGATTTTACCAAAGATAGTTCAACAGAAACTGAGTCAGAAGTGATGATACCACCTGCATTATTCTGGGTCCCTGTAGCATTTTGTATGACATCTGATTTACCTGTTCTATTATTCTCTATATTTGATTCTAAAGGCAGCTCCACAGAAAGTGAGTCACCATTGATGAAGCTACCAGCTGTGCCATTCTGGTTTCTGATAGCATTTGTAATAATGTCAGATTCCTCTCTTCTATCATTCTCTATGCTAGGTTCTACAGCAGAAGTTGTCATTTCTGTGGAGTCAGCAGCCCCCGTTACTTCATTATGAGCAATTGCAGGCATTTTTGATGAAAGCACTTGATCTTGGATGCTTGATACAGGGATCTGTCCTCCAGAAGAAGACACCTTCGGAAAGACAATGTTCTCATGACCATCACTGGAACTGGCTCCTAAATTAGGCTGCTCAAATCCAGAAATTGATGCTCTCTCAGAGGAAGTACCTGCTGCATCATTTTTGCAATTTGGAATCACTTAAAGAGTCAATTTTCAATGGGGACATGACATGATACCCTATTTCGCCCCCACCCCACTTGCTTGCATACCATGCAAGAACCCCTCAGGATTTTATTCTCCTATAAGATGTCCACACATGGCAAACATTTCCAGGGAGTGTGCTTTTTTATATTCACTAGCATGTAGATCTATTAAAAAACCAAGTTGTTCTGGAACAGCTCAGCTTCCGCTCATTAAAGGCTCGGCATGCTTAACTCATTAAGAAGACGAGCCAAACTCAAACCTCAACTATGAGATCATATATAAATTGAGCCAAACTTCAATATTGGTAGGATCAACTCCTGTAGGTTTGTGAATGGAGTTCTAATTTTATATCATTTGTTGTTTTCTGTAATTTTGAAAGTTCTATACCTTTTTACTGAAAGTCACAAAATATGATAAAAATATAAAAAAAATTAAATACTATTAAGATGATAAATATATATATATATATATATATACACACACTAGATAAAAAGGACGTGCAATTGCATGTAATTAGAAATCTTAGTCTAGCATAAAAAATTTAAAAAAAGACAACTTTGACATGGTAAATTTGAAAATTGTCATATAAAAATTAAAATTTCATTGTCATCTTCATACAAAATAATTTATAGACTTTTACTGTTATCTTCATATAAAAATTAAAATTTTATTATCATCTTTACACCAAATAATATATATAGATATAGTTTAGTTATTATAATGGTTTAGGTTTCTTGAAGGTTGCAAGAAATGATTCACTCCCACTATTTTTCTCATGGTTAAATCTCTCACTTGTTAATTATTGTAGTCATGTGAGACAAGTACTATTACTAATTATTCAATTTAAAATTAGAAAAGAATTAATCCCAACTGTTGCAACTTGTTACAAGTATGTCCAAGAAACTTTTAATCTAATTTCAAAAGGTAAAAGGTTAAAAATGTGTTAAAATATAAAATTCTTTTGGCAAATAATGAACAAAATATTTCTCATGGTTAAATCTCTCACTTGTTAATTATTGTAGTCATGTGAGACAAGTACTATTACTAATTATTCAATTTAAAATTAGAAAAGAATTAATCCCAACTGTTGCAACTTGTTACAAGTATGTCCAAGAAACTTTTAATCTAATTTCAAAAGGTAAAAGGTTAAAAATGTGTTAAAATATAAAATTCTTTTGGCAAATAATGAACAAAATATTAGTAAAAGTGTATAAAAATTAAATACCAGATGTATCAGTTAGCAAAATACCAATGCAAATGAAAAATCTATTAAAAAAAAAAAAGTAAATTTGAAAATGGAAAAATATAAAAAGTAAAAAGTAAATGTGAATCACTAATGGTATGGAAAAAAAAATAACAAGAGGCAAATGAAATCAAGATCTATCAATTGAAATACACATTTAAAGTGAACGAAAATTGGAAATCTACTGAACCAAGAAAATAAAAAAGAATGGAGAATATGTAACAATGTCACAACAAAAGGTAAAACCAAGTCATGTCTATTTTAGAGAAACCTAATTCTTGTTAAGACATTTTATAACTTTTTATTACTGTTTTGTTCTTGATGCATTTTAGGTCGAGATTTACATAGGCTGGCCGTTGGAAGGTTGAAACTATATAACAATAAACCGGATATGTATATTGAGAAACACATGTTTCTTCTCACTTAAAATGTTTGTAATTAGTAATTACTATATCATCACAATTTAAAAATATCTTTAATTTAAAATTTAATGATATCTCATAATATTTTTGTAACGAATTTATCAGAGTGTCAATTCCCCCCCCCCCCCCCCCCAAAGAGAAAAAAAAAAAATCAATTAGTAGTAAAATCAATATACAGTTTTCTTTTATATAAAATATCTAAATTGAAACTCTTAAGCAAATAGTTAACAATTAAAATAATATTTAAAAAAAAATTTGAAAAGAAATAAAAAAATATTAAATCCTTCTAGTTTCCTAACTATGACTGTTTTCTAATCGGAGTGAACTTCGTAAGAATTAAACTTGTATATAAAAAAAAAAAGAATCATCCTTGTACAACCATAAAGAGATCAGTTTCCTTGTCTATTTCTTTATTGGTACGGTACTAAGGACTGAACTCATCTTTTGAAAGGCCTCAAAAAAAGCCAAATCTAACACAAGTAAAGGAAATTGAAAAGAAAAATAAAAAGTGTAATTTAGAAAATCAATACTTATGAAATATTACATCCTTAAATTCGGTCGGCACTTGTCAGAGGTTACAAGTTATTGAAACTCTATTTTTCAGTTGACGGAATTGACTCCCCCTAGATACTCCTGGGAAATTGCTCTCTATTAAAAATAAAAATAAAAGAAGAAGAAGAAATTGCTCTCTCCATTCACATTGAACTCTATCCCATCTTGTCTGGTCATTCATTATCGAAGTAAGAAAAATATTTAATACAGATGGAAAGGGGCAAAAGGAATGTAGAAGAAGCTCTTTGCAATGTTGTGCGTGGGAAAGCCCAGGCTATTGAAATATTTTTCTAATACGGAGAGTAAGTAGAAGGAGGCAAAAACCTTGAAACCAAGGAGTTTTAAAAACATCTATTGAATGACTCTCGGTATTTATAGATGCATGTAATGAAAAGGTGTCTTAGTAAAGAGGTGTGAATTTATAAGGTGTAATCATATAATTTTAATCGTATATATGCTTCGACTTGCAAACACCTCTCTGACACAACTCTTCATAAATTTATTTAAAATACAAATACAAATAATAACAATAATAATTGAATAGGTGTTTCATTTGGACGCAACTCTTGAAAAAGAGAAGAAAATTTCATTTCAACGCAACTCTTGAAAAAGAATAGAAAAGTGATAATATATAATAATAATGTCTCAAAAGATTCAACAAATTAAAAAAAGAAAAAGTGAAGAGAGACCTTTAAAAATTCTTACAATAAATTGAATATCGATACAACAATAATTAGACACTTAACAAACTTTGTGGTATGTCTTTAACAAAAATTGCAGTAACTTATGTCTTGAGTCTTTTTTTTATTTTTTTTTTACTTTTTTTTTTCTTTCAAAAAGGTGTTAGTAGTTAAATAGACACCTTTTCAAGAATTTAAAGAGGTGTTAATATTTGATTCTAACTCTAATTCTTAATTAAAATATGGATATTATCGCAGAAAACAATACACAAAAAATCAAATGACTCCTATATATAATAACTTTAACTAACAATCGCTATGTCATGTCCGTGAAAGTCTTAATCTGCTTCATCATTATTGAACACCCGCACAATACTGTTGGCAGTGTTGTCAACTTATCGCGAAGCAACGAAACAATGACTTGGACGAAAATATATATACATAAAAAGATAGAGATAGTTTCATGTAATAATTACAGTATATTGAATAAAAGTTATATACAGAGATAGTTTCTGTTTTTGAACATCTCATAGCAGCAAAAGATTAAGCTTGAAGACAGTCAAATTGAACTATGTGAGGACAGTATCCAGAGGGAGGCTGATGCTAGACAAGGGTATGAAATTACTTTATCAAATGAAGAAATCCTATTGTCTCAAAAATCTAGACCGAAGTGGACTAAAGAGCAGGATAGATGTTCCAAATTTTTTTATCAGAAAATTAAGGCTTGAAGGGTTCATAATAATATTACAGGGCTGGAAGACAATGCTGGCAACATGATTCATGATGCAAATGGGATTAATGATTTGTTGCTTCACTATTACATTGATTTGTTTTCTTCCAAGGGTCAAACCAGCACTCCCTCGGCATTTTATTTAAGGAAGACTCAACTGTAAGATGCTGCAGCCCTTGAAGTTCCAGTTACTAGGGAGGAAGTTAAAGGGGTTCTTTTCAGTTTGGGGATGGATAAAGCCCCTGTTCCAGATGGTTTCACAGTTAGATTTTTCAGAGATTATTGGGATATCATAGGAGTTGAGGTTACAGATGCAGTGCTGCAGTTCTTCAACCATCCTATCCTAGGTAAAGGGTTGAATAGTACCTTCATTTCGTTCCCAAGGTTAAGGAGGCTACCAAGGTAGGGAAATTCAGACCTATTTCCCTATGTAATGTGTTATACAAGATTATCACCAAAATCTTGGCTGACAGGCTAGGATTAGTTTTGGACAAAATTGTGGGCAAGGAGCAGAATGCTTTTGTTGGGGGTAGGAAAATTCAAGATAATTTGATCTTAGCTAGTGAGTTATTGAGGGGTTTTGGTGCCAAGCATACTAAACCTACATTAGCCTGGAAGGTGGACCTCAGAAAGGCATATGATTCAGTTAGTTGGGATTTTCTGTTAAGCCTTTTACAGATGCTTGGTTTTGGTAATAGGTGGACTGGTTGGATTCAGGCCTGTATTTCATCTGTTTGGTTCTCTATTCTTGTCAATGGAAGCCCTTGTGGTTTCTTTCAACCAACTAGAGGAATTAGACAAGGATGCCCCCTGCCCCCTTTGCTGTTTACCCTAATTACAGAATATATCTCCTCAATGTTTGAGTATGAGTGCAGAAGAGGGAATTTGGTTGTATCCAATGCAGCTAGGAGAGCAAATCTTATGGTTTCTCACCAATTTTTTGCTGATGATTTGCTTCTGGTGGTAAGGCCTAACATGGCTTCTGTGTTCACTCTTAGAAGAATCATGCAGAATTTTGAGGATTCTTCTGGTTTGTCTGTGACTAAGGATAAGTCAGAAGTTTTTCTTCTTCTTTCCTAAGGAAAGCTAATATTTTGAGAATTCTTGGTTGCAAGCAGGGCACTCTTCCTTTTACTTACTTAGGGTTACCTATATCTGATAAAGGATTGAAGAGACTTGACTGTAAGCCTCTGTTAGATAAACTGATGGCAGCCACTTCTAGATGGGCTGGATTGAATCTCTCTATGGTAGGTAGGGTTGAGTTATTAAGGTCTGCTGTCACCCCAATGGTGCATTACTGGGCTTCAGTTTTCACTTTACCAGCAGCTGTCATTAATGTAATTGAGAGAAGGATGAAGAATTTTGCTTGGGGGCATGAGGATAGCACTGTGAAGCTGCATGGGTTATGTTGGAAGAAAATCACTGCTCCAAAATTAGAGGGAGGTATGGGATTAAGGAAACTTGTGGATATTGATAAGGCAGCCAAATGTGCCTTGGCTTGGGATCTTCTTTTATCTAAGGACAGGCTGTGGGTTGCTTGGTACAGGCAATGTTATATCAAGCATTCAAATTTCTGGTTGGTGGTGCCTAGAGAGGCTCATTCTGCCATTTGGAAAAGCATAATTTCAGTTAGGGATATACTGAAAAACAATTGCAAATTTTGTATAGGCAATGGACAGAAGCTGAAGTTGTTTTTGGATCCATGGTGTGATGGACATTTTCTGTCAGAAAATTTCAGTTTTAGGACTTTGAGAAGTATTTCTACTAACAAGCAGAGTGACTTAAGCACTTGTATTGTTCAGAATCAGTGGCATTTTATTGAAGTACCTTTGGAGGTTCAAAATTTCACATAACGGTTCAGAATTTATGGAGGGTGTGATCAGATTTTGTGGCAGCATAAGGGTTTTACTTTTAAAGCTGCCTGGGAGGCTTGCAGAACTTCTAAACCAGCTGTACCTTGGTATTTTCTGGTCTGGAATGGTGGTAGGCCTAGATGGTCAGTGTATTGTGCCTTAATCCTACAAAATGCAGTCCTCACTGGTGATAATTTGCAGAAGAGGGGAATTTCTCTAGCTTCTAGATGTTGTTTGTGTTATAAAAATGAGGAGTTGGTTGATCATGTGTTTGTGGAATGTAGTTTCTCTTGGCAGGTGTGGTGTGAATTGGATGGTATGTTTAGTTGGAGGGTTCAGAAGACAACTTGTGGGGATTTTGCTGCTGCTTTGGCACAGCTATTCAAAGTGCAGTCTGTGAGGAACAAGATATCAAAGATGGTTTTTTCAGCAACTATGTACTATCTGTGGAATGAGAGGAATGGCAGGCCTCACAGAGATACTTCGAGATCTCCCTCCATTCTTGTCAAGCGCATTGTGTGGGATGTTTTAGATGTTGCTGGACTGTGTCTTCAAGATGTGATTAGTTAATTTAGGGAATAGGGGTTTGGCTCTATTTTCCTGGTGTTGTTTCAGTGAGGTGGTTGCCTCACTTTTTGCTTTGTACGATTTTGTTTAATATTTATAAAAAAATTTCTTCATTTAGGAAAAAAAAAAAAAAAATTGTAACCTATATATACATATATATATTTAAAAAGTATAGTGCACTTACGACGTAGGCCTGAAAATAAAAAAAGGTTTTTGCAGAGAAGAAGATAACATGAAAGAGTTTTTTTCCTGAGATCATATGACTCTTAGGTATATATAAGCAGCAGATAACCCTTCACAATAGGCATCTCTTTTGAATATAAGAGTAGAGAGATATTTTAATTATTGATGCCTTTGAAAATTACGTTGCAAGAAGTTACCATTTTTTTCAAGGTATGGTAAATAATTAAAGTTGATTTTTTAATAAACAAATCCATAATATAGAGTGTAAAATTGATTTAAATTAAAATTTAAAAATTGTTTAAAACAAGAAATTATTTTAAAATGTATATAAAAAATAAAAATTGAATACCCTTTTATAGGGTATATATATATATATATATATATATATATATATATATGTTTTCATGACCTGAGTAAAATTTAGGATCCATGCAAAGCCAGCTTACCTAATAATTCAACCTGCGCCAAGGACTTAACTTCGTCTAACCAATGAGCTGCTTTCTGACTCTCTTCATTCATTTCGGCCAACTGATTTGACTTGAGATCTTTCAGGCGTATGTCCTTCTGGCTTTTGTGTTCTTCCAGCTTCTTTGCAAACTCATTATCCAATGTCTTAAGTTTACTGATTCTCACTGAATGATTTGTGTGTATAGAGCGAACAAGAGCATACTCCAACCTGTGCCGCTCCTCCAGCTGTACCCTCCTTTCCTCCCATTCTCTATTGAACTCTTGAAGTTCCTCGTCATGCTTTTGCAGGAGCTTTGCCATCCGTTTGTCACATTTTTTCTGTACTCGTTTCAAACTTCTTGAGATCTCTTTCTCTGCCACTTTATGTATTGGCGCCTGCTCCTGCTGTGGAAAGACCTGTTCATCAACAACCTCCTGGATTTGTGATCCATCTCCAACTTCCAATTTTACATCTTGAATAAAAGATGCCACCGATTGTGATACCTGTGCATTCAGCGGCTCCTTTGTGATATCTTCAGCTTCTGAATCCGAATCCTTAAGGTTCTCAGAATGATGTAAGAACATTTTCTTTAACAACCGCAACTTTGAGTAAACGTTTTTTGCCTCCTCTTCTTTGCAGCCAAAATTCAAATGATGCTGTGCTAGCGCAAGCGATTGCTTCCTATCAATTTTGTATTTTAGCAAGGAAGCTCCGATCCAACACTGAAACAAGCACAGTACACCAGTACAATAAATAATGAGAAAAGCAAGACATTTAAGAACATAAACATACGGAGTGTTATTAAAGGCTCAAGGCGCACCACTGCGCTAAAGGACCTTTGGAGCCTAGGCACGAGGCGCACAGCGAGGCGCGTGCCTGAGTGAATACACAACTGAAATTTTAAACTACCATAAAAGCATTCATATCTCGTAAGTCGTATCCATATTCTAAAAATTAATATTAAATATAAAAAAGTAAATCCATCAACTATATAAGCATTCAAGAACCATAAAATACAGCACAAATTTGTTTTCTTGAAAGGCAAAATAGAATTTGTTTTTTTGAAAGGAAAAACAGAACACAAAAAGAAATAAATCTACTAACAAAACAAAAATAACTGTTAACAAGGAAAGATAAAAAAAAACAGAGCTCAATCAAAAAGACGTAGAGACAAAAGAAGTAGATGAAGAGAGAGAGAGTGTGTGAAGAAAAAGGAGAAAAAACGGAGCCCAAGAAAAAGAAAAAGATAGAGAGAGAAGAGAACTAGACGAAGAGAAAGAAATAAGCAAAGATGAGAGGGGAGAGTAGAGGAGACGAGAGAGAAGAAGAAGAAAGGATTGACATGGCTTCATTGTTCATTTCTACAACTAGGGCTTCGTTGTTGGTCTCACAGTCTCACTATTTCTATGCTCGGTTGACACTTTGACTCGTGAGCTTTCTTATTTGTTTATTCTTTTGAACAAAAGTTCCTTCTCTCATAAGCTTAGGCTTTCTTATTAGTTTATTAAGGTGCCAAAAGTACCCTTTTTGGCTTAAGAAATAGAATAATCATTTTTTTAAAGGAAAATAAGTGAGGCGCGCCTGACAAATAGGACGAGGCGCAACCGAGGCGCGCGCCTAGTAAACATCACTGAGCCTGGGATGACAACAGGTGCTCTGCGCCGTGAGCCTAGGCGCGCCTTTAACAACACTGGGATCATGCAAGCAGACAAGAGTGGCCAGATGCTATGTAAATATTAAATATCCACACCCACCCACCAGCACCAAGATAACCGCCACCATCTTCAAAGGTGTTTAGTCTCTTCCCATAATTAATTGGACATATATGTTCTATCTGCTCCGTTCTAACAATTTAGATTGCAGTTATATTCAGAAAGAGAAGGGGAAAAACCATGGATGCCATGAAAATGATAGAGTGGCCAGAGAGAAGGGACAACAAAGAAATTTCTCATATACATGCATTTTGCAGTAGTTCCATAGTGCCAGAATAAGAGAAATGTCCTTATAAATTTTGCAATGAAGAGATTTCTTTTACAATTAAGATTTCAATTCTTTTTTTTTTTTTCTTTTTTTTTTTTTTTTTATCAGTAAGGATTGTATAAGAAGCGTTCAAAAGGGAAGCACATCCCTCAAAACCTACACATGGCCAAATAGGACCTCTAAACCTTCAAAGACTCCAAAAAATCTACAAGCTCCTCCAAGGTATTACAATTTCTCCCTAGAACCAAACAAAAAAAAAAAGTACTAATTGGAGAACTTCATCGTCCCAATAGGATTCTCCTTTCTTTCGAAGGATCTCCTATTTCTTTCAAGACATAAGCACCACCAGACACTAAAAAGTGTAACCCTCCAAAAATCACGAACTTGGGCCCCCACTGTACAACCTCTCCAAGCTTCAACCAAATCTCTAGAAGATATGGGCATAACCAACTAAACCCCAAACAAACCCAACATCAAAATCCAGCAATCTCGAGCCATAGGACAACGCAAAACCGTTTCCCCGTCATTCTTGCACATGTAACACCAATTGACCACAATCTGATTTCTCCTCATAAGGTTATCCTGAGTCAAAATCTTCCCCAAGACGGAGGTTCACACAAAGAAAGCCACTTTGAGAAGGACCTTCAAACGCCAAATAGCCTTCCACAGAAGGGTGAACCCGAAACATCTGAAAGACACCTATAAAAAGACCGAACGTCAAAGTGACCCTGAGGAGAAGGAACCCAAACACAAAAGTCAAAAACCTCCCCTACAATGTCCTGGCTATAAAGCAACTCTAAAAAACCAATGACATCCTCAACCTTCCAAACTTGAAAATGCCTCAAAAAAACAAACATCCTAAACCGTACACCCACTATCAAGTCGATAGTGGTTGACCACCAAGGCATGTCTATCTGTAGGAATTCGAAAAAGTCTAGGGAAGATGAGAGCGAGAGGGCGATCACCACACCAAGTGTCCTCCCAATAGCGAATACACCCAGCATCCTCACTCAAAATCTGACGTGTTTGGAAAATTCATTCCACCCCTTACGGATGAATTTCCAAACCCCAACTCCACTTGGAGCTCTCACCTCAAAGGAGCACCAACCTCCACGCGCTTCCCCAAACCTGCACGCAATCACCCTCCTCCACAGTCTTTTCCTTTTAAGATTTCAATTCTTACAAGAGAACATTTGTGATACATTTTTTTCTATTTATTTATATTGCAAAGTATTTATGATCTGGATATACCATTAAACTGATCAGTTTATTCTTTTCTCGGTGCTTTGGATGGAGTTATTTCACAGTCTCAGAATGCGTTCAATGGTGGTTAGCAGATTCTAGATTCCATTCATACTGCTAGCGAGTGTGTAGATTCTAGGATGTGTAGTGGCGTTCCTTGAGTTCTCTGCAAGCTTATGATCATGTTATTTGGAGTTTCCTGTTATGTCTATGAAGCTCAAAATCGTGTCTTGGAATGTTCGAGGATTGAACGACCCGAACAAAAGGAAGGTGGAGGCCTTGTTGAGAAAATGGGAGGCGCATGTGGTGTGTTTACAAAAGTTCAAGTTGGATACATCCACAGATAGGGTGTTGAAAAGCTTATGGGGAGGCAGATTTGTGGATTAGGATGTGATTGATGCTAGCGAGTCTATTGAGAACAGGGCAGGAGTGGCATTCCGCGGGTCGTCTACAAATTGGATGTCGAGAAGGCCTACGATCATGTGTTGTGATTTTTTTATGCATATGTTGCAGAGGATGGGGTTTGGACACAGGTGGCGGACATGGATTTATCATTGTATTTCGACAGCACGCTTTTCTGTCTTAGCGAATGGCTCTCCAGAAGGCTTTTTCCCTAGTTCTCGTGGATTAGGCCAGGGGGATCCTCTTTCCCCCATTTTGTTCATCATTGTTATGGAGGCCTTTAGTAGATTGATGGGGAGGGTGGAAGAGCTTGGCTTTATCCAAGGATTCTCTATGGGTAGACTTCCCAATCAGCTCACAATCTCTCACTTGTTGTTTACGGATGACACTATCGTTTTTTTTTATTCTAGAGTTGATCAGTTGAGATACTTGAGATGTGTATTGGCTTAATTTCAAGTTGTTTCCGGATTGAAGATTAACATTGGGCAGAGTGAGTTAGTCCCAATTAGGGGGGTGGAGGAGATCCATGAGTTAGCAGGTATTCTGGGATGTGGGGTTGGCTCTTTCCCGATTTCTTACTTGGGACTCTCCTTGGGTGCCTCGCCGAGGAGGATTTTAGTTTGGGACCGGTTGTCAAGAGATTTGAAAGGAGGCTGGCGAGTTGGAAAAAACAATACTTGTCAAAAGGAGGGGGAGAATCACGGCAATGAAATGTACCCTTTCAAACCTCCCTACTTATTTTATGTCACTTTTTCCAATGCCCAAGACAATACTCCAAAGGCTTGATACAATTCAGAAAGAAAAAAAAAAATTGTGGGATGGCATGGGGGATGAGTTCAAATACCATTTAGTGAATTGGGAGAGTGTCTATATCCCTATTTTAAAGGGAGGTTTGGGGATCCGAAGGTTGGATATGTTCAATAAGGCCTTGTTGGGCAAGTGGCTATGGAGATTTGGAAGAGAGAGGACAAAACTACGGAGGCAGGTTGTTTCGTCAATTCGGGGAGGGAGATGGAGGGTGGCTTTCTAAGGAAGTGAGTGCTCCCGCGGGTATGGGATCTTGGAAACTAATTCGGAAGGGTTGGGATGAGTTTTCCAAATGCATCCGGTTCAAAGTTAGGAGTAGGAGGCACATTAGATTTTGGGAGGATCAATGGTGTGGGGACTTTGTGCTGGCTTGTAGATTTCCTCGTCTTTTTAGGATTGCTGTTAATAAGCATGTTGTAGTTGCTAATTGTTATTGGCTTCATAATGGAAGGGTGACTTGGGATGTACAGTTCCGCAAAGAGTTGCATGATTGGGAGCTTTTGGAGATTACAGATTTTCTTGCTCTGATTTACAACCAGGTGGTGGAGGGTGTTTAAGGTTAGATCTTTCTACCAAAGTCTTATGGAGACCCATGGCCTTTCCTTCCCTTGGAGAGCTATTTGGAAGACTAAAGCCCCCTTGAAGGTGGCTTTCTTTGCATGGTCAGCTACCCTTGGAAGTATCCTCACTCTCGACAACCTTAAAAGAAGATGTCAGGTTGTAGTGAACTGGTGTTGCATGTGTAAGAAGTCGGGGGAATCTGTGAACCACTTTCTAATTCATTGCCCTATGGTGAGGGACATTTGGGCTATGTTCTTGGCTACCTTTGGTGTGGCTTGGGTGTTCCCTGAGTCCACGGTTGATTTGCTTGAGGCTTGGAAAGGGTGTATAGGAAAGTCGAGTTAGAGATGTTTGGAGGGCCACTCCCTTGTCTTTGGAGTGGCTTGTCGCGCAAGAGAAATAGGAGATCCTTTGAGGGGGAGAGGTCTCCTATTTGGTCTCTCAAATACAATATTTTGTCATCTTTTGTCTTTTGGGTTAATGGGTGAAATTGTATACCCTTGGATAGTCTTTTAGATTTTGTTGATAGTTTAAAGATATAAGGTCGCTAGTAGCGGCTTTTTGTTCTCTTGGGACGTTTCCCCTTTTGAGTGCCTTTAATGAATTTTACTTATCAAAAAAAAAAACACTCCAACATAAAATTAGGCAACACAAAATTCTGTAACTGCTAAAACAATCAACATTTCTACTTAATTTATCGCCCATCCTATTTACTTCTAAATCCATTTCTATTGCAATGTAGGTCTGTTGAAAGAAAATTAAAAATTGAAGAGAGAAATTAAACATGAAGAACACAAGGAAAGGCGCACAAAACCCACAGGGCTACATCACCTTTATTATAGTCTCTCTTACTCTTTGTATACAATGATCACCTTTATTTATAGGTGAAAGAATATAAGTGATAAATATGGAAAATACATCGATGGAGGATTTCTAAAATCAATTCCATAAATCATTCCAATCAATATTCTATTATAGGCTAAAATACTCACCCCACCCCTTCCTTCCCTCTCCCTCTCCCTCTCCCTCTCCCTCTCAAGTTGGTACACGGCGATTTTAACTCAAGTGTCCAACTTGAAACTTCATATGAGGTCGCTGAGAGTCCGAGACGAGTTGCAAAGATCCGAGACGAGTTGATCCGGAGATCTGAGACGAGTTGATCCGAAGATCCGAGACGAGTTGATCCGAAGATCCGAGACAAGTGATCCGAAACGAGTTGATCCGTAGATCCGAGACGAGTAAAGTATAGAGTAGGGAATGATAAACCTGCTTTGATACCATGTTGAAAGAAAAATAAAAATTGAAGAGAGAAATTAAACATGAAGAACACAAGGAAAGACGCACAAAACCCACAGGGCTACATCACCTTTATTATAGTCTTTCTTAATCTTTGTATACAATGATCACCTCTATTTATAGGTGAAAGACTATAAGTGATAAATATGGAAAATACATCGATGAAGGATTTCTAAAATCAATTCCATAAATCACTCCAATCAATATTCTATTATAGGCTAAAATCACTCCTATAATATTCTCCAACAAGGTCTTTAATAATTAGTAGATTTGAGACCAGGAAAATGCAAGACGGAATATGAAGTAATATTTCTCTAATTGATTCTGATTCATGCATCATTACTAGTATTGTGTAGCACAAAGAAAAAGAAAAGAAAAAAGAAGGGATTTGTTACATTGCAAGCACCAGTACAAGTTCTACAATGAGTTTCAGAGGAAAAAAGAGATCCGGAGAGCCTTTCTAATTACTCAGACTTTGATATAAGCAAAACACAAAAACAACTACCTTGTTTCTTTTCCTAAAAGAAGCATACAAGCATCCATTTATCTAAACAAGTAAGATAATTACATTATTATCCAGTATGTGAGAGAGTGACAAAATAATTGATGGTGGAAAGATTCTAACCAGAGAGATTTGGAAAGCCTGTAATATGGTTGCTGGTTCCCTATTGACATGATGATTATCAATAACGTATTCAAGAAACCTTCTGACCATAACCTTGACATCCTCCTGCATTTACAGCCAATTGCACCCAATCAGATGGTAATATTGGCAATCTGCAAGTTCAGCATAGCATGACAGCAGTGACTCATGCTACAAGATCAACAGATGCATTCTCAAACACCAATAAATAATGCTGCAATTCCATCAAGACGAACTATTTGGAAACCCTTCAATTTATTTTTCTTTGTTTGTTCATTTTTTAAGAAAAATGTATAACTAATAATTTGTAAAAGAGTGTGCATGATCTGCAATAACTAACAAAGGCAATAAATTTCTAACATCAAGCAGTGGTAGTGTCCTGTTGTGCATAAAAATAAAGAAAGGGACCCTACTGAACTCATCAAAATCTAAGCCATGAAAAAGGTGGTAAATTAACCCCATCACCATTATGGAGAGTCCCAATTTTTTGAATACTTGGATTTCTCCCTTCATCTAACAACAAAACTGCATTAGGGATCAAAATTTAAATGACTTCCTCCAACTTAGACTAATCCATCAAATCCCAAGAGATCCATGACTATAAAGGTAGAGAAAACCAGCAGACTATAATCCATCTAAGGACAAAACTCGAAAGTAGGATCAAAGAAGAGTGCAAAATGGGTGATAAACTGATACAGAAGAAGCTCCACATATGATGCTATGATTTGAGACTTTCCAACCTAATAATAGAAGAAGATCAATCATCAAAATATTTCTCAACGCAGCTACAGGATCATCAAAGTATTAGTCTCCGAGAATCATCTTCCCTGGAAAGTTGCACTACAGGCCTTGCCTAAACATTACCCAAAGGTTTTATGTCACAATTACTCACATTTCATTTACTGAAATCAAAACCTTTACCACCCCTCCCCCAGCTTCACGAAATTCGGCCCCAATCTAGATCTCCATGACTAATTACAAAGAAAAATATTTCTGATCTTCCTGTAAGCACAATCTTCCTTTCCAACCATCCGACCACTATTCTTCAATGGCCACAATGAAATCAACCCTTTCGTAGGTCCCTTGTACAACCACCCAACCACATGCTAAAGACAATTTCTTTTAAAAACTCATCCTAAATCATCACCTTACACCTTCACAATGAAAATCCAAACAACCCAACAGCAAATTCTTTGATGTACCCACAGTCCAACATGCTTTGCTTGGTAGGCCTTTTTTTCCCCCCACCTTTTGAACAGTTGCTTGGATCCAAAACAACTGTTCAAAAGGTGGGGGGGGGGGGGGGGGGGGGGGCGGGGGAAAAGGCCTAAACCAAACATAACTCAAAATCCTTTCCAGCTACATTTTCCACCAAGGATTTTTCTAAAAAACTCATTTTCTCCACTGCTGAGAAGAGTTGAGTTCAAAGCACAACACCATTTCTTTGCTCTATCAAAATGTCCTTTGAGACAGGGCCCACAATCATTACCAGAATTCAAAGAGAAGATATCTGTCCCATCCTCAAAACAAAATACCAGTTCCCCCTTGGAAACAAATCAACAAAACAACTTCCTACTTTATCCTACTACATTTAATGTATACTTATAGAAGAGGTGACAAATTCCTCCCCCTATGTGACCTTAATAAACATTGGTGATCATTTTAGCAGATATGCAAAGCCTTATAGAGCCTAACCTCGGGGTCCTCAACACATGTGCACCTTAAGAATATCATACGCACTCCAAATTTTTTTTTTTTTTTTATTTTTATTTTTTTTTTCCGATGAGTAAAGATTGTATAAAAAGCGTTCAAAAAAGGAACACATCCCTCAAAAGCTACACAAGGCCAAATTGGGCCTCTATATCCTCAAAGAGTCCAAAAAATCATTGGCATTCCAAATCTTGAATATGCACAAGAGTGGACAACTACATAGATACAATCACACACACATTCATACACAGAGAGAGAGAAGGGTACAATTATTTATGACCATTTCAAATAAGGCGATGGAATCCTACATAAATGCCCCAGGTCATTCACGCTGGGAGTATGGAACCTAGACTGCCATTTGACAAGGTTCACTTTGCTAGCATGTTGGCATAAACATCACGGTACAATTGCGTTTACGAGTATATATCATTTAAATATTAAACATGCTGTACAGTATTGTATGAGTTGTCACACGTGTACAGTTAATATTATATGAGTTGTCACCTACCCTTCATTACAATATATAGAATTACCACGTATAGGGTTTTCTTGTTCTCCACTCACCTACTCCCGTAACTTCTCCTATATAAACACCATTGTATTATTATATTACTTACTCAATAACATATACGTTTTCATATATTCTCTTTCTCTCTCTCTCTCTCAACATGGTATCAGAGCAAAAATCGATCCCTCTTTAAATTTTTTTTTTTTTAGTCTTATTCAGACTCCAATCTTGATTCCATCTCGACTTTCTCTCAATCTCTTCATGGCGATCTCTCCTCAGTGATCTCAGTTCTCGTCTCGGCAATCTCTCTCGGATCCCTCGGCTCTCTCCTCGATAATTTCTCTCAGGTTCATCTCGGCTAGATCTTTGGTTCTCTCGCTACTATATCTCATTTGTTCGGCAGCTCTTGTGATGGATACAAAGGAATCCCATCTTCTTGGGTTAATCACCAGCACCAAACTAGTAAAGCGTGAGCGTGCAAATCAACCCTCGTCCACCGCTACTATCGTTACTTCAGGTAATACGTGTCTCCATGCTTCATCTTCTACACCTTGGATCATTGATTCAGGGGCATCCGATCACATGACAGGTAACCCATATCTTCTTTCTGATATTTCTCATGTTTTCTCACCATCGATTGTTACTATAGCGAATGGTGCCAAATCACCTGTTCATGGAATTGGTACCTTCCGCACTTCGGGTCTCACTTTTTCATCAATTTTATATATCCCTCAATTGTCATTCAATTTATTGTCAGTTCACAAAATCATATCAAATTTAATTTGCTAAGTAACTTTTTCTCCTTCCTGTTGTGTCTTTCAAGATCTCAAGACGAAGAAGACGATTGGTGGGGGGCTTGAGAAGGATGGACTTTACTACTTCCAGCCAACTACTGCTCCAATAGCTCTACATTCCACCTCCTCTTCAGCTTACCAATGGCATTGCTGCCTTGGACATCCCTCTTTAAATAGTCTTCGAGCCTTGGTCCCTTCTTTAGTTGATTTTTTTCAGTTTAATTGTACTACTCGCGAACTTAGTAAACATCGTCGGGCTACTTTTAAGTCTCGTTTTGATAAAAGTTTAAAACCTTTTGAGTTAGTACATTCGGATGTTTGGGGACCAGCACATACTACTGTTTATTTGGTGCTCGTTATTTTGTGTCATTTATTGATGATTATTCACGTTTAACTTGGGTTTATATTCTTAAAGATAAATCTCAAGCATTCTCTGTTTTTCAATCCTTTTATGCTGAAATTCCAAAGCAGTTTGATGCAAAATTACTTGTTCCTGACAATGCCCTTGAATATAAACTTAATGTTTTTCAAAAGTTTCTTGAGTCGAGGGGCATTATCCATCAAACATCTTGTGTTGACACCCCTCAACAAAATGGAGTTGTTATACGGAAGAATGGCCCACTCCTAGCCATCGCTCGTGCCTTAATAATTCAAATGCATGTTCCAAAACATTTTTGGGCAGATGCAGTTCTGGTTGCTACTTATCTTTTAAACCGCATGCCTTCTAGGGTCCTTCAAGGAAAATCACCCTTCCAAATGACGTTTTCTGACAAAAATCCTTTTCTATTCCTCCAAAGGAGTTTAGGCGTGTCTGTTTTGTTCATAATCTAAGCTCGAGACGAGACAAACTTGATCCTCGTGCTCACAAATGTATTTTCTTACGTTATTCTCTAGCTCAAAAGGGATATAAATCTTACAGTCCAACTCTTTGTAAACAATTTGTGTGTGCAGATGTAACTTTCTATGAGGATGTTCCTTATTATTCTCAGGAAGGAAGTCGTCTAGAGGACTCTGTTCTTCAAGAGTCTGTTCTTCCAACACCAGTTTTTGATTCTGACATCCCACCAACTCTTCGTGTTTATGCTCGTCGCCGGAAAAGAGTAGTTAATCATGTTCCAACAACTAAAGTAGTAAACCCAGCCTTGCCACTTCCACTAGTCGCTTCAACGCCTAGAGATTCTTCCATCTCTCCGAACTCTGATCTTGATTAACCTATTGTTGTTCGGAAAGGTAAACAGTCTTGTACCAATCACCCTATCTCTAATTTTGTATCGTATAATAAATTGTCCTCCTCCTTTTAAAGCTTTTTCTTTGTCATTATCCTCTATTGCTCTTCCTAAGGCCTACAGGTAGGCACGTTCTCATCTAGGGTGGAGGAAAGCTATAGAAGAAGAAATAAACGCTTTAAAATTGAATCATACTTGGGACCTTGTTCCTTAGCCTACTGATACTCAGTTTGTTGGTTATCATTGGGTTTTTTCTGTTAAATAAAAGCCTGATGGTACTGTTGACCGTCTCAAAGGTCGACTTGTTGCTAAAGGCTACACTCAGACTTATGGCCTTGATTATACTGAGACGTTCTCTCCTGTGGCCAAACTGAATTCTGTTCGTGTGATAATCTCTCTTGCAACTAATCTAGACTGGCCACTTCATCAACTTCATGTTAAAAATGCCTTTCTGCACGGTGACCTTGATGAGGCAGTCTATATGACTTAAACCACCTGGGTTTGAGTATAAGGGGGAGTGTGTGCATCATCTCAAGAAGTCTATCCATGGCCTCAAACAGTCCCCTCGTGCATGGTTTGATAAGTTCAGTAAAGTAATGGTAGCTCATGGTATGACCAGAAGCCAAGCTGACCACTCTCTCTTTTTTAAGAAAACGAAACGTGGTATTGTGATTCTTGTGGTGTATGTAGATGATATTGTTATCACCGGCAGTAACAAAGATGGGATACAAGTAGGGGTGCACACGGTTCCGGTCGGAACCGGAACCGGAACCGTTCACGACGGTTCCTTGAAAATGGAACCGGAGCTGGAACCGTGTAGTATGGAACTGAACCGGAACCGAACCGTAGAACCGGTTTGGTTCCATGAGAACCGTTAACCATGAGTTGAGAGACAGCGGCTGAAGCTTGCGACCGAACTGGCTTGCAGACAGATCTAAAATATATGGGTTTTGAACTTCCGATTCTTGTAGATTTTGTAGTTTACAGTTGCAGAGAGAGAGGGCAAGTTTAGCAGTTGCAGAGAGAGAGAGGGGGGGGCAAGCTTGAGAGTTGAGAGACAGCGGCTGAAGCTTGCGAACCCGAACTGGAGCAGCAGCAACAATCTGAAATGATATGCCAATATGGGTTCTGAACTTTTGATTCTTGCAGAAGCCGAAAGCCTTCAACAAACTCAAAGAGCTGGCCCATCAGACGACCCATAGAATTTTAATTCACAAGTCTTTGTCCAGAAAGAATTTGATTTTATCAACCCAAGCGAAATTAAGCAACTATATATTTACTCCAGTTAATTAAACCTATGAAGCCACAAATAAGGAATGAAATAATACTCTTAACTAATAAAAGGCTTCAAGAATTAGATTTGTCTACCAAAATGGAAAAACTAAAGTAAAAAACCCTTAGACCAATTAACTAAATTATTAATTATTTGCAATGTGAAAAAGAATAATGACTTACACCAAGTAACAGCGTGTGTGACACACTTTGTATCCTTATTCCTTGTACACACACACACATTCTTGTAGATTTTGGTGTTTGCAGTTGCACACATAGAGAGAGAGAGAGAGAGAGAGAGAGAGGGAAGTTCAGATTTGGGAACGAAAATAGAAAAAGGGCAAGTTCAGAGTTGAGAGAATAGAGATGGAGGCGATTGGTTTAGACGGTTAGATGAGTTTTCACCCACGTGGCTGCTTGTAGGCTTTAGTTTAGAATAACTAATTAAATATATAATTATATATATACATATATACGGTTCCGGTTCTTACTGGTTCCCACGGGCTGGAACCGAAACCGGAACCGTACACCCACGGTTCCAAAATTAAGAACTGGGACCGGAACCGGAACCGGAACAGTGAGAACCGGAAAAACGGTTCCGGTTCTCACAGTTCCGGTTCCGGTTCCACAGTTTCGGTTCTTTTGTGCACCCCTAGATACAAGTTCTAATCCATCACTTGAGTTCTAGCTCCCTTACTAAGGATTTGGGTAAACTTCGGTATTTTCTAGGAATTGAGATGGCTCTGTCGAAGCAAAGCATTAGTCTTTCTCAGCGAAAGTATACTTTTGATCTCTTACAAAGCTACTGGATATCTTGGTTCGAAACCTGTAGCTACACCCATGGAGACTAATGTAAAACTTAAGGTGGATGATGGTGACCCACTCATAATCCAGAGATGTATCGAAGACTTGTAGGTAAACTTATTTACCTCATAGTCACTCGTCCAGACATCTGCATAATCTCCTATGTAGTCAGTGTTGTGAGCCAGTTCATGACCAGTCCTCGGGTACCTCACATGGAGGCAGTTTTACGCATTTTGAAGTATCTCAAGGGTGCTCCGGGACATGGTCTACTTTATCGATCTTCTAGACATCTTCGGATTGAGATTGGGCCGATTCTCCTTCTGATCGACGGTCCACCACGGGTTACTGCACCATCATATGAGGAAACCTAGTAACTTGGAGGAGTAAGAAACAGTCAGTTGTGGCTCGTTCCAGTGCTAAAGCAGAGTCTCGTGCCATGGCACACACTGCCTGTGAACTTACTTGGTTAAAAACTCTTTTACAGGAACTTGGGATTGTACCCAATTCCTCTCCATTGTGACAATCAGGCAGCTATTCATATTGCTAGCAATCCAGTCTACCATGACAGGACTAAACACATTGAAGTAGATTGCCATTTCATTCGATCTAAAGTTGACTCAAATGAGATTGTTACACCTTTTGTTTCTTCTTGTAGACAGCTGGCAGACGTCTTCACCACTAAGGCGCTTCCCAAGAACTCTATTGATTCCAAATATAGCAAGCTAGAGTTATTGACATTTACTCTCCGGCTTGAGGGGGAGTGTTGTACAATATTATATGAGTTGTCACATGTGTACAGTTAGAATTGTATGAGTTGTCACCTACCCCTCATTACCATATATAGAATTACCATATATAGGGTTTTCTTGTTCTCCACTAACCTACTCCCGTAGCTTCTCCTCTATAAACACCATTGTATTATTTAATTACTTACTCAATAACATATACGTTTTCATATATTCTCTCTCTCTCTCTCTCTCTCTCTCTCTCTCTCTCTCTCTCTCTCAACAGAACACAAATAGTATCTCTCCCTGAAGATAACATGGCGTCTCTCCCTCTTAGGTTGACCATGACAAAAATCACCACTTTTAAACACGTCAAGGGATAGGACCACATCGATTTGCCTCTTAATTTAACAAACAGTCCACCAAACCACAAGATGATCTCCTTATTTTTTGGATCACAAAGAAATCTTACTCTTCTTTTTCAAATTTGTTCATAATTTTTCTATACTTTCTGTATACATCCAATGTCTACTGGTTGTCTTTATTGGCTACTGATTCTGTACCTTCAAATAATTGTATATTAAGAATGGTACTAAAACTTGTTGAAGTAAAAAAAAAAATGTTGTCAATTTTATCTTTGAATCTATGTGGAAAGGTACAAAACAAAATTAATTTACAAATGAACAAAGTACAGCAACTGCATCTCACCATAATTTTGCAAGGACTTGATGCTCGTCTAAAGGTGCTTAGCAGAGAAAAACAGTAAACTACACATTGACCCATTTGACACTACCTAAGGTAAGACCTTACCTAAAATTCACCTTTCTTTGAGGCCAACAAACCTCAACAAGTCATTCCCTTTTGGCAAAAGGAGCTGTGTGTCATCTATCAAAAGGGCCATAAATTGGCACCAACTCCCTATCCTTTACCTTACTGATAAAGAGAGGATCCCACAACATCCATTCCCTGACCTTAAAATATAATCTTGCAGAAAAATGTCCTAGCACACTGAAACACAAGAAAGGCTGGGAAAATATCTATGCTAGAGACAACTCTAGCATTGTGCATCAAGTGACCAATACTATGAGGTGCTTCATTTCATTATGAACCCAATCTTCCTTGAGCTTCCATACCAACCACCTCTCTCCTCCAAAACCCACTCCATCTAATGCTAAAGCTACTACCATAAAGAGCCTGATAGAATACCTCAAGCTTCATTGATGGTTCCAATTTTTTCCAAGTGCCCTGGCATTAATAGCATTGAACAAAACTTTCCAAGGCTAAGGTCTCAACTAAGAAGCATGCCAGCTAAACTGTTGGAAATATTAACTGTGTTCATGAACATGTTCACATGGAGAGCTTGAAAAGCATTAACAGATGGAAGCCTTAGAAATTAATTTGATTCTGTTAACTATTCTAGCATGCATTAGAAAGATAAACTTTCTACAAATAAGTAGTAGCTTGCTTGTTTACGCATAGCATAAAGATTATTTCACAAATTTACTTATCATATGCAGCAAATACATCAATTATTTAGGCAAGTCGACTAACTCTTCTTCTGCATTCATACTATTCAAGCAAACAAAGACAGCTAGAACTGTCATCAAAATGACAACTGAAGATACTCAAATCATACTCCCTCTTGAAGAAAGAAAGAGTAAAAGGACCACAGAATTCTAAAGGGGGGAAAATATAAGATGCGAACCGGGAGTTGTAGAATTTCACAGAGCCTTGAAATGTCTGGTTTCAGGAGAAGATGAAGACTCTTCTGCGCATCACGCTCTGTTCTTCTTTCCTCTAACTCAACTATGTTAAGTTCCGGTGACAAGGAGATATTACTAGAGGAAAAAGGTGAAGAGGAAGCATAATTTGTATAAATTGTTCCAGTTACATGAGCAGTTGAGCTAGGCGAAGATTGAGATACGGCTGGATTTCCAGAAGCCCCTGCACAAATAAGAAAAACTATAAAATAAAAAAAAACTAAAGCACTAGTACCTAAAAACCACCCTTAGAAATTCATTAATTCCCCAACAGAAGTTCAAAATTCTCCAACAAAAGGTCAAATTCATCGAAACCATGGAAATTTACCATCCTTGTATGTTGCAACTTCAACTTTGTCCAATCCAGGCTTTACAGAGGAGGCTAGATCAACAATATCATTCCCCACCTTCTTGCGCTTCTTTCCAACTTCTCCAGTTTCAACCCCTCGCTTTCCTGGTGATTCAACAAAGTATTGCACTCTTTTCCTGTTTCTCTGTAGTGGTCCAGATAAATATTTCCACCGAGGATTCCTTCCCTCCAACAGCTTTGTCCAAAAAACATGAGGTTCTTCTCCATCTGCTAAGTTATTTTTTACCTCACCAAGCAATGAAATACTCCTACTGTAACCTCCCCCACTCTGTTGGACTTTTGAAATGATAGAATTGCTTATATCATTTTTTTCAGCATTCCAAGAAAGCAAAGCCAAGAACTCCTTGACTACATCTTGTAAAACTGATTGCTCAGACAAGACATTTGTCCCAGAGGCTGTGGTACTACCACCATGAAACTCATCCAATTTATTGAATAAATATGAGGCACCCCACATAAGCAGTGTGTGACTAGTAATCCGGCTTATGCTGTGCAAATTGTTATCTAGAGTCTCAGGCTTCGGAAAGATCAAAAGTTTTTCTTCCACAGTACAAGATGAATATAAACGGAAGATTTTTATCTGTTCAAACTGTGAATCAATTGATATTTTGTGTAGTGCTCTTAAATCATTCGCTGGGTTCCAGTCACTATCGAATATGACTATAGTATCCACTGACGACAGTTTGATGCTTCCATGGCAAGCACGGTTTTCTAATAAAAACACAAACCTCCCACTATCCTTGTCATTGAACTTGTTCAGAGCAGCTTGCTTCCTAGACTGGAGAATATCCTTTTCAATACGTTCATAAGAATCTGGCCCGAATCTTTGACGCAGAAAGTCATCCAATATATCTCCAATTGAATCCCTTCTAGAACCACCGATCGACTGTTGTACAGAATGTATAAATTAGAACATGACAACAACTAAGAAAACAAAATGCACTTTGCATATAAATGTGTGCGCGTGTGTGTGCGCGCGCGCGAGCAAGGAAAGGGAGAGAAAGAGAGTAGAAAAAACTTATCACATCTATTAAGGTAAAAGTTTCATGGCCAAAATCAAAAAATAAAAGCAATGACAACAAGATCAATAACATCATTTAAGAATTAGATGCCATGGAATAGCATATTTAATTGAAGATGACATGAAATCATTTTCTTGTTTGCAACAGAAAATACTAAGTATGCATTACAAAATGCAAACATATAATGACAAGTTTGACAGCACAGGACTTATTCAATGATATAAAATTGACAGTATGAACACAAACTTCATTAAATATTCTATTCATAAATTACCCCCACATCCTTTACCAATACTAGTAATATGCAAGCGAAATATTGCAGTATCGACAACAAATTCTTGGCATTGAAAGCACGTAATTTATTACTCATTTATATCTTTAAAAGCCTAAACTACCTATTCCTTACTAAAGAGTTTTCATATTATGCTCTCCTGGGTAAGAATCATAATGACTTCAATTTCGACTCTATTTATTAGTAGCATCCACATAAAACTATACTGGATCCTTCCTGAAACATAACCAAATATTGAACCATCATGACATGAACACATACCATTAGGAATGATTCATAATTAAGCCTAAACCAAAAATGGATTTTGATATAAAAATAAAAAATAAAATAAAAAAATGTGTGCATATGCGACTCCCATGAGATTTCCAATGCATTAGCATCACTGCAAAACAATTTCCAATGCATTCCCACAGTGAAAATTTCATATCCTGGAACCATGTGCTAAGAGTAGCTTCTCAATAGTACAAAACACTTGAGCCATTGGCCATTGTTGCTTCTGTTGTAAAGATATAATTGAACACAAGGAAAATGAGTAGTTTAAGAATTTGCTGTCACTAAAGCTTATGTAAGGCTTAAGAGATCATTTTGCAAATTCTGAAAGATGACATCAAAGTGCTGACTAAGAGGACATTGATAAAGGAAAAAAGAATAGTGAACAGTTCCTGAGGAAACATTGCAGGTTAAAATCAAAATCATTAAACATGTACCTGAAAAAGGATCACCACTCTCAATTGCAGATTTTTTATTTCAGAGAGTATTGCGTCAAGAAGTTCCAATTTGCCACTTGCTTTAATGCCCACATCCAAATACTCGACCTCAGGTAGACCTTTAGTTATCGTGCCTTGCAGTGAAGGGTCCACGGTGTAGGGGTGATCACAGCACTATAAGAAAAGGTAGGTAGGGGGGGAAGATGAGAATATATAGCCACATCAATGTCAAACAAAAATGAACAGTTCAAATTAAAAACTGACAGGTAACTTCAAACAATAAAAAATATTTATCTCTATCGCTTGTGTATTTACGGACTTGCAGGAGTTGTTATTATTTTCTCACATTAATAATAAAATCAGAACGTAATTAACACATCTGACGCATGGATACATAGTCATACCCGACACACGTACCTGAGTCCATGTAACAAAGATGTCCACAATAGATATGCTAAATGTTTAGAATAAGGCTAAATATATCTAATTAATTAAAACAATAAAGCAATGAACTTGCGTGTACACCTCAGAGGAGAAAAGGATGATGTTTTGCACCTACGAGGACTTAGAGTCATGTGTTGGCAATTTCCCACGAGACAGGCAGCAGAGATGGTTTTGGAGTACGGAAGAAGGGAGTTGGGTGATGCCTTTCTCATGCTTGACAACTGGGGGTACAGAGCGGGATGTACTGGTTTGTTGAAGGAGGGTATCTGCCAGATTTTGGTTTACGGACTTCCCTTGCATCTCTGGTGCAACTGTTTGGCAGAACCCATTGGTGAGAAGTGCGGGGGTTTCGTTGGGATAGAGAAGGATGAGAGGATCAACACAAAGAAGTTTGATGTTGTGCTCAAAGATGGTGGATCTGTTCCAGATTTTGTGATCATGGAGGATGAATGGATTGCTTTCAGGGTTTCGCTTTCAGTAATTGCTCTTCCGACAATGGAGGCAACGGTGGCGTGGGCTACTCATAAGGCTTACGTTCCGTGTCCTGAGGCTGGGATGGGAAGAACGAAGACGGAGGCTGCGGTGGTGGATCAATCAGAGAAAGATGATCGGAATGAGTCTCTGCAAGTGCTAGTTGTGGAAGGTAAGGAACGAATGGTGGTCCACGCGAAGGATATGCGCGTGAGGAAGGATTAGCATGATTGACGTGTTAGCACGACACTTAATGGACATAAGATAAGATCTCCAGCTGGCGGAACGCGTGTAGAAGACCGTGTGGTGAGGAGCTCTTGGTCATGTGATATGCAACACAATTTCAAATTCTCTGGACTGGGCCGTGGACCTGTGGATAAGGAGGACTTTGGGCCTGGTTTTCGTGGGCCATTTTTCAATATGAGGGGCCATGTACAGCAGAACTGGGCGGCCACCAATTGCTCACCCATTGGGCCTTTCCTCCAAGGGCCCTAAGGCTGGGCCCAACACTTGTGGACCATTTTCAACGGAGACAGCAAACAGGGTGTGGATACCTGTTCTGGGCTGGGTTGGACTAACACGAACAGATTTGGGCTGCTCCAATTTTCTAATAAAGATTCAGAATGTAATGATGGGTTGGATCACACGGGGGGAGGGCAGACTTGGCCCATTTATAAAGGACTGCAATCCAAGTCAGGTTAAGAAGATCCACGACCCGTCTGCAGTTAATCAGAAAGCTGATGCACATTGTCGTCGTCCCTGATCCATTCACTGTATATGGTCGCGAGTGGAAATGGCGTGCGAAAGGGGTTGTTGTTGATGGTTCCGATGCAGGTAGGTTTTCTTTCTCTCATTCTGCTCCATCTTTTTCTTGTGGGGGACCATCTTCTGCAATTGAAAATCAGAGTCGAAGGGAGGAGGGTCCGCCTTCTACTTTCCGACCTGCTGGGAGATCTGAACTGAGCTCACCAACTGTTAATGATGGGTGTAATGAGAAGACCATTGTTTGTGTTGGAAGGGACATTCGCATCACCCTTAATTATGATTCAGCAGCGTTGTTGTTGTTGCAAAAGTTGAGAAAACACAGATTGCAGGTAGACGAGCAGGTGTGTATTGACATGGATTCTCAGGTTAACAAACCGGTGGGGAGCAGGAGCAGCTTCATTGACTGGTTGTCTTGTGACAATTCTGCGCTGCGGGCTGGGGTGAAGGCAATGTGAGGATGGAGCAGCAGGACTGACCTGTTGATGCCTTGACATGGGATGGGGCAGACGGAAGGAAGAACAGGCTTTGATGATCCACAAGGAGACGGTGGAGGGGAGAGACGTGGGGTTGAGGAAGGAACCAAAAAGGGGTAGAAGAAGATCTAGAAAGAGTTCTTATTCATGGAAAGGGGAGAGGAAGGTAAGGAATCTCATTTGCTATGTCAATCATGAGGGAGAGGAGTAGAAGGAGGAGTAAAGGGGAGGGGAGCGCCATTGTTTCCTTGTGAAGTTCCGACTCATTTCTTGGAATGTCCGTGGTCTCAATGACCTGGATAAAGGGAAGGGTGAAGGTAGCGGTGAGGAAGTGGGGGGCACATGTGATTTGTTTGCAGGAGACGAAGATTGCCTCAATATCAGATAGGGTGTGAAGAGCCTTTGGGGAGGGAGATTTGTTAAATGGGAAGCCTTGGAGGCTGTTGGGACTTCGGGGCAGTATCCTTGTCATGTGGGATAGGAGATGGGTGTCAAGGGTGGATGTTTGGAGGGGGGAGATTCTCTATTTCTTGTGCTTTTGTTATGGAGTAGGATGGCTTTAGGTGAGCTTTCTTCGTGTGTATGGCCTGGCGGAGGATGGGGAGAGACACACTCTATGGCACGAGCTCGGTGTTGTGAGGGCACTATGGACCCTTCCTTGGTGTGTTGGTGGGGACTTTAATGTGGTGCGATCCCCGTCGTAGCGGTCTTCAGGAAGAAGATGGTCTTCAACTATGGAGTAGTTCTCGGACTTCATTGACAGCCATCACCTTATTGATTTGCCGATGGAGGGTGCATGTTTCACTTGGTCCAGTGGCAAGAAGGATGGTACTCTTTCTCGGCTGGATAGATTCTTGGTTTCTAGGGATTGGGAGGAGCGGTTTTCGGATGTGGTACAAGCAGCTTTACCCAGATCGGCGTTGGATCATATTCCGCTGGCCTTGGATTGTGGTGGGTTGAGCTCCTCGTGCACTCCCTTTTGTTTTGAAAACATGTGGCTTAGGGCGAAGGACTTAAAGGGGAAAGTTCGTTCTTGGTGGGAGGGGGCTACAGTGGTCAGCACTTCGAGTTTTATTTTGGCCGGAAAGCTTTGGTTCTTGAAGGCTAAGATTAAAAGGTGGAATAAGGAGGTGTTTGGGAATTTGGAGTGGAGGAAGAATAGGGCCCTTGCAGAGTTCATTAAGTGGGAAGGTTTGGGTGGTATTGTTAAGGCTCAAAGGAGTCAGAGGACAGAGTGTCAGGCGGAGTTTTCTTGTTGAGATTGCTACTTTGGAGGAGATCTCGTGGCATCAGAAGTCACGGGTGTTATGGCTCAAAGAGGGTGACTGAAATACAAAATTCTTTCATAGGTTGGCCAATGCTCACAGGAGGGGTAATCATATTGGGCGGATTCGTGTTGATGGTGTGGATCTATGTAGGGAGGAGGATGTGTGCAGGGGGATTGTCTCGTGAGACATACAGTTGGAGACCTAGACTTGGTGGTCTGCATTTTAACTCAATTTCAGAGTTGGACAGGGACGGCCTAGAGGTTCCCTTCTCCGGAGAGGAAGTGTTGAAGGGGCTAAAGAGATGTAATGGTGACAAAGCCCTGGTTTCACTATGAAGTTACTGTTGGAGAGCTGGGAGGTGGTCAGGGGTGGGGTGAGGTGATGCAGACGTCCCAGGAGTTTGATTCTTATAGGTGGTTCGAGAAATCTTTGAATGTTGCTTTTTTTTTTTTTAGTTTTCCTAAATGCTGCAAATTTCATAGATAAAACAATATCGTATAATGGAGACAATGAGGGCATACCCTCACTACAAGAAAATCATAATCCTAACAAATAGTTAAGAAAATTCAAGGACAAACCCCTAAAAAATGAACATAGACACAGATAGCCAAAGAATGTCTTGCAGGCCTACATCCAAAACATCTAAGAATTCCCACAAAATACTCTTAACTAAGCTGACAGGATCTCTAAGTTTCGAGTTATGGTATCTCTCATTTCTCTCCCCCCCAAAGAAAGTATAGTGTCGCAGTGAATAAGAGCTTGAGCAACTTATGTTTGCAGCTTTTTGATTTAAACTTCAGCAAAAAGAACATTGCCAATTCTTGAATTGAAGCACATCTTTGAACATTAACCTTGCAAATATCTGATAATCCAGCCCAAACCTGCCTTGAGTAGTCACATCAGCAGACAATATGATCAAGAGTCTCTTCACCTTTCAAACATAATACACACCTTGATGCCAAGGAAATTCCTCTATTCTGTAAATATGAACTTGTAACCACAACATTCTGCAATACCAGAGTTGCATGAATCGACCTTCTAGGCCTACCACCATTCCAGCATAAGGTATACCAGAAAACCTCTTGCCTCTTCATTCTGGAAGCTTCCCAAGCAGCCTTGAAGGTGAATCCAAAAGTTTGCCACAACAGCTGGTCATTGCCTCCATATATTTTATACTTAAGAAACAAATGAAGTACCTCTGGGTTACAGTCTTCAAAGTTAGAAGTGTTCCATTGCTGGTTTTCAATAAACTCACTTAAGGTCACCAACCTGTTTCTGCAGAGATTCCTCAAAGTGCTATACTGAAACCTGTCAGTCAAGAAGCTACCATCACTCCAAGGATCCAGAAACATCATTACTTCCATGCCATTGCCAATCCTGTACCTCCAATCCAGCTTGATTATATCTCTGACAAAAACAATGCTCTTCCAGATTGGAGAGCAAGAATCTTTAGTCACCACATGCCAGTATGAAGCAGTCTTTAAGTAAGTATTCTTAAAGCAAGCTACCCACATTCTAACTTTTGAAAGGAGAAAGTCCCAAGCTAGGACACATTTGGCAGCCTTATCAACATCACCAACTCTCCTCAGGCCAAAACCTCCCTCCTGCTTAGGTGCAGCAAGCTTCTCCAATTCAAACCATGAATTTTGTGACTACTCTCATCGTGACCCCAAATAAAGTTTCTCATTCTCTTCTCTATAAGATTAACAGCACCTGCAGGGATAGAGTACACTGATGTCCAATAGTGTACCAT